TCTATCTATCTATCTATCTATCTATCTATCTATCTATCTATCTATCTGGTGTCTTTGCCTGGGCACCTGCCAATTCGTATCAGCCAGCACAGGTATATATAGAGGCCCTGATTTACTGAGGCCTGGCTATAGGCCAGTGACTTTTATTTATTTGTTTTGAGTTGTGATCTCATGTAGCCTCGGCTGCCCTCAAACTTGCTATGTAGCCAAGGCTGGCCTTAAACTCCAAATCCACTTTCTTCTCTGCTTTCTGAGTGCTGGGATTACAAACATGCATCACCCTGGCTGGTCTGTGCACTGTGTTCTTTTGTGACAACTTCAGTTACAGTTAGTAAACACAAGGGTTTTTTTTTTTTTTTTTTGGCTTCACTGCCCTTAAGTTGTAAGTCTGGAAAGTCAACACAGGTGTTGCTGTGTACTGGAAGGGTAATCTCAGAGGACTTCAATTGGATTTTTTTTTTTTTGAGATAGCTCTCTTCTACCTCACCCCCCTCTGCCTTCTTGTTTTTACTCCCTCCTCAACTCCCCTTCCCATGCCCTAAATAAACTCTATTTCATATTGTACCTGTTGTGTGGCTGGTACCTCAGGGGAAAGGGATGTTTCAGCATGGGCCCCCAGAGCCACCCCTTTCCCCCACACCATGCCTCAACTCTATAAAACATATCTCTTTCTTTTTTATAAAACACAACAACCTCAGTTAAGGAATGGCCTCCTCCACCAGATTGGCCTGAAGGTCTATCTGTAGGGCGTGTCTTGATTAATGGTTGACGTGGAAGGAGGCAGCTCATTGCAGTGGTGCCATCCTGGACTGGTGGTCCTGAATTGTATAAAGAAGGTAGCCAAGGAGCCAACAAGAAGAAGCCGGTAAGAACAAACCTTTCTTTGTGGTCTCTGCTTCAGTTTCTGTCCTGACTTTCTTCAGTAATGAGATGTAAGATAAATCATCCTCTTTGGTCAATGTTTTCTCATGTCACAGAGAAGCAAAGTACAACAGCCAGCCTGAGGCCGTGGGGGAGAAACAACAACAGAAGGGAGAGTCTCTTGTTCCTGCTCAGGTGGTTAGAATTCTCCTCTGTGGGAAGCCCCTGGTCCCCTGAAGAGTCAAGTAGACATCTCTAGGGCCAGGCTAGGGGAAATGGTAGTGTTTGAAGGAAAGACCAGGGAACAGAAACTGCCACATAAGCCCGTCAGCCATATGCTCTTGGGAGGCTAGCCTTGCCGCTCTGCTCCCTCTTCTGGTCACCAGCGGATGCTTATTTAGCTTAGTGTTTGGGCCCCCAGTGGGCAAGCGTTCTGGTGTCTCCTTGGGTTTGCTGCCATAAGAATATATTCTAAGCTTAAAAAGGCAGTAGTCAGAGCAGCTCTGGCTGAATCTGTCCTTAGTGAACCTCCGCCATTGGGCACAAGCATAGGCTGTCTTGGCTACTGGGGCCACTTGATTCCTGTGGCAGCACATCTGTAGAGACTGATGAGGAAGGCTGGCTTGTGTTAGCTAGCCAGTTACTGTGTCTCCCTGGCTGTGTGGTCCTGTTCTTTGTCAGATGTTTGTTAGTGGCATGGATGTGTCCACACTGGCACACATGTGGAGGTCAGAGGAGGTACTGGCTAGTTTTAAGTCAACTTGGCACAAGCTGGAGTCATCAGAGAGGAGAGAGTCTGTAGGGTATTTTTATTTTCTTAGTGATTAATGGAGGAGGCCCAGCCCATTGTAGGAGGGGTCGACCCTGGGCTGGTAGTCCTGGGTTCTCTGAGAAAGCAGGCTGAACAAGTCATGGGAAGCAGTAAGCAGCCTCCCTCTGTGGCCTCTGCATCAGTTTGTGCCTCCAGGTTCCTCCCCTGCTTAAGGTCTCCTAATCCTTTGGTGATGGACTGTGATCTGGAAGCATAAGCTGAATAAATCCTGTCTTCCCCAAGTTGCTTTGGCCGTGGTGTTTCATCACAGCAGTGAGGTCCTAGTAACCCTAACTAGGACAGAGGACAACCTGCAGGAGTCATGTAATCTCCTACCATGTTGTTCAGGCTTGGTGGCAAGTGCCTTTACCTGCTGATCTGTGCTGTGGGGTCAGGAACAATCATGACACATCATTTCTATTTGAGATGCTGCTGGGCACACTAACTCGGCAGGCAGTGGTTTGACTGCCTTCCTCATTCCTTGTCACTACCCCCTGGGTACAACTTGTGGATGACTGGTATTTGTGGTCACAGGAACACTAGCAGTGTTTTTCAGAGAGCAACACAGGCTTGATGACTGGGGTAATGGGGTACACCTGCAATTTCAGCACACAGGAGATAGATGCAGGAGGAGTTCAAGGCCAGGCTTTTTGCTACACAGTGAGTTTCAGATGCAGCTGGAGGAGGAAGATGGAAGAGGTGAAAATCCACACCTTTTGTAAGCAACTACACAATGAATGGGGTATGGTAGCTTCTGTAAAATATTATAGATAATATGCTTTGGCTTGGCCAGTATCCAAAAAGAAAAGGGGAAAGGGAAAGTGGACAGTCAGCACAGGGCTACAGCCAACAGTTCTGCAGAGGGCTAAGAAACCAACGGCTCACTTCTGGTACCTTAAAGACATACTTCCTACTGCCTTGTAGGCAGCAGCAGCAGCAGCAGCAGCAGCAGCAGCAGCAGCAGCAGCAGC